GTATTAGTTACTTTTTCTGTTACTGTGATAAAACACCTGACAAACCAGCTTAAGGAAGGAAGGGTTTATCTTGGCTCATAGTTAGAAGGTATGGGGGCAGAAGCTTGAGGCAACAGCAACATTAATATGCAACACTGGATACCATGACCATGATTAAAAAGGATAGAGTAGATTTCATTATTCGCCAAGACAAATAATTTTCAAAATCCTAAGACAAACATCAATGAATTTAAAAGAATTCATTTAAACTGAACTTAGGTGTGGGGGGGATATGGAAGGAGTTAGAAAGGGGAGGGTTAGAAATGATGTAAACACAGTGTACTCATGTATGAAATTCTCAAAAACTAAAAATTATATATAATAAATATACATAAGGGGTGAATATGGGCATAGTCTATAAAACTATATTAAGTGAAGTAACACAAGCACAGAAAAGCAAGCATTGTATGTTCTCCCTCATTTGCGGATTGTAACACCAATCCCTTATATGTGAGTATATAAATTCTGATATAACACCAGAAGGCAGGAAAATGGAAAAGATGCACAGAGGTAAAGGAAAAGAAAGAACCTAAGAGAGAGAGAGTAGGAAACAGGTATTACTGGGGGGAGATGGGAAAAGTGGGAGTGTTCAGCAGGGAGGAGAAGGGAGGGACATGCAAGGGCCCATGATATGTGTGTGGGGGGAATCGGGAGAGGGTAGATGGTGGGCTGTGGGAGGTGGGTGTTATTGGGGGGGAGAGTGGGGGCACTAGAACTGGGGAGGGAGAAGGATGGCTGGATGGGAGGAAAAAGAGTAAAGATGAATGAATCTAGGAGAGCTGGAAAACCTAGAGGGACATGTGATACCGTTGAAACGCCATGAGAAATGCACATGCATTAGTGTGTATGTATACCTCGGAGCCGCTAGGCAAAGAGCACAGTGCCAGACAAAACAGACCTCCCTTTGAGTGGTTGGTGAAAGTGGTCCAGGAGACTCCCAAAATAACACAAGCTATTGCCAAACCTCTTGGTTATCTCCCAGAACTAGTAGATAAGACCCTACTGCTGAAGACAAGACAAACCAGATACAGGACTTGAAGCAGTGAAGCAGGAACTGAGCTGGAAGCCTTCTAACTGAGGTTAGGCTATCATAATGCTAGATGATGATATGCAAACTGCCAAGGGAGAAAAACAACCAATGGTCCAACCCAGCCCTAAAGCCTAATAATCATAAGGACTGGCAATGGCAAACCACCTGTATTAGTGCCCTGGTGGCAGTTATTTGGGGGCAATCAAACAGCTATCTGATTGGACTTAAAGCCCTCTCACTTTCATCCATGGAAGTGAACTCATGGATGGCACTGTAAACTCAGCCAAATATACATGGCAGGAAATGACACAGATTCTAGAGAAAACCCTATCTCTAGACAAATGAAATTTCTTACAATATGCTAAATATCAGTCCTTGTATTTACAGACAAACATACCGTACACCACTCATTGGGGAGGCTTCTTTTGCAACAGATGGAGGCTACTGCAGAACTGGTCAGACACGGAGAATATATGTCTGAGAGATGCCCAGTACTAGGTGACACTTCTACAATTGAACCTCTACAACTAAGGCTCATGGAACATAGCGGAACAAGAGGCAGAGAAAAAACTAAGGCATCCCTCAACTCTTACCAGTAAAGCTTCCTTATACAACAGAGTACGATGCAACAGGAGGCCACAACTGGCCAAATTTTAAAAAATAAAGAGACTGCAGAGTGTATATCCTTGGGTAGGACTCCTATATTTGAAAACTTACCCACCCACAGCTCAGGAACCATTGTGGAAGAGGGAGCGGAAAGATTTTAAGAGCCAGGGTTGGTTCACGAACATGGGGAAGCAGAGGCTTTCAGGCCACTAGAAGCTTGCACATGTGAACTTGTGACAATGGTGGCATTGAGCACAAGACTCATGCCAACTCAAACAAACAGGGGTCCAGAGGGAAGGAGAGATGGATGGTGGGCCCGCCTAGACTGAGAACTATTGGAGACTGAATGCCACTGGGTGAGGGAGAGTATGCCTTATATACAATCTCTAGATGGGCTGACTAGACTCCAGTGGACGAATTTGCACTGAAAGATATTTGAGTACAAATGCTTGACTGGATAAGACTGAACATGTATGGCAGAATATATGAGGTTCAGTGGGGAGATGGGGGAAGCATTGGGGGGGTGGCTAAATTTGATTTGGAACTAACCAGAAAGGCGGTTACGGGGCAGAAGTACACAAAGAAAGGTCAAAGGAACAGAGAAGAAGGGATGGGAACAGAGAAGAAGGGATGGGGAACAGAGAAGAAGGGATGGGAACAGAGAAGAAGGGATGAGAACAGAATCAATAATACAAATTGTTTGGAAATGTAATAATGAAACCTAACACTGGGGCCAACAAGATGGCTCAGTAGATAAAGGTGCCTGCCACCAAGTCTGAAAAATCCGAGTTTGATCCCCCAGACCCACATGGCAGAAGTAGAGAATCAATTCCCACAAGCTCTTCTCTGACCTCCACAAGCATGCTGGCATACATGCCCCACACAAAACCTAATAGCAGTATGCTAATTTAAAAAGCTTAGGCCAGAGATTTCTGCAAGTAAAGGCACTTGCCATACAAGCCTAACAGCATAAGTTCAATTGCCCAAGCCTATTGGGGAAGGAGAGAGCTAACTCTTGAAAGTTTTCCTCTGACCTCCACACATATGCTATGGCATACAATACCCTCCTCATCACATACATACAACACACATGTGGGCACATAAAGTACAAATTTTTAAAAAAATTTTGTTTCAATAGTTTAGTTATTATTTGCATTTTATGTGTATGAGTGTATCACCTGCATGTATATAAGTACACCCATGACATGCAATGCCCTTGGAGGCCAGAAGAGAGCATCAGACTCCCCTGTAACTAGAGTTATAAATGGTTGTTAGCCATCATGTGGGTGCTGGGAATCAAACCTGAGTCCTCCACAAGAGCAGTCAGCAGTGCTCTTAACCAATGAGTCATCACTGCAGCCCCATCCCCAACACACAAAAAATTTTGTGGTTTGTGATGGATAGTCTCCATTGTCAACTTGATGGGATTTATAATCACCACGGAAACACATCTCTTGGTGTGTCTATAAGGATATTTCTAGAAAAGTTTAACTGAGAAAAGACCAAACCTGAATGGAGAAGGCAGCATCCCATAGGCTGGGGTCCCAGACTGAATAAAAAAAAAACAAGCTGAGCACCACCGTTCATCTCTCTTTGCTTCCTGACTGTGAATGTAAAATGACCTTTGATCATGCCTTCCCTCACTTCCCTGACTATCCCTCAAACTGTTGAGCTAAAACCCTTCCTTCCTTAAGATGCTTTTGTCAGGTATTTTGTCTCAGCAATGAGAAGAGTAATACATTCTAAACAAAATCTTAGCAAACCATATTAACTGTAATGGTTTAGATATGAAGTATTCTTTCAAAAGGCTCTTATATTAAAGGTTTGGTCCATAGCTGGTGGGGCTATTGAGAGGTAATTGAACCATGAGGGTGCTAGCTTCACTGATGGGCTAATCCATTTAAGAGTTCATACTGACTGGCTCTTAGGAGGCAAGGCCTGGTTGGAGTATGCCACTGGAGCATGCCTTTCAAGGATCATCTTTTCCTGATCTCCTGGTTCTTTTGGTCTCCTGTCCACTATGAGGTTAAGTCACTCTGCTCTGCTGCACGCTCCCTATCATGATGTTCTGTTGCACCATAACAAGGCCAAGACGCCACAGAGTCAAGTAGCCAAAGACTGAAATCTTGAGCTAAATAAATTCTTCCTCCTTTAAGTTGTTTTTTCAGGTACTTTATTTCAGCAATAAAAATTGACACTATAATATATTAAAAACCAAAGATGAAGGAATTAAATTAAAAACAACAAAAACCAATGATAAAGTTTAAACCTTTAACACCTAAAAACCAGTGAAATCCCACGTTCATAGACTTAAAGAATTAAAGAGCTGGAGGAGACTGTAGAGATCAACACCCTCTCCACCTACCCACCCTTGCACATTGAGTTTAGCCTAATGATTCCCCATGGGAGTGTTGGTCCAAAGAAAAATGTAACCTCAGATCAGGAAGACAGTCTCTGGTACACTCCTTTTTCCTTGCTGTCTGGGTTCATCTTGTTAAGTTAAAGGGGCAGATTCAGTGTGCTAAATGATTCTTTTGCCAAATGTGACAAGTCTAGCTTTGAGGTTTTTTTTCCCTTTTTTTTTTTTTTTTTTTTTTTAATGGATCAAGAACCAAGACTCTCATAGTCAACTAGAAGCTGAGCCTTAAAGCTGAACTTAGAGGGCCAGTCAACAGCAGAAGAACACATTGTATTTCATTATGTTGATTTCCATGTATACTACTTGGTTACTTTGGGACATGAAAAATCCCAAATTCTAGTTCTGCCTCTAATAACCTTGAGCATGTAACTTAATGTTGCTAAGTCTCAGTATTATCATCTGCTAAAGACAGCTAATAATTCCAGGTTGATTGTAAGATGTCAATGTACTCAGCAAAACCCTTGGTATTTACCAACACTGTAACAATCAGAGCCTATTAGAACTAGTTTTTTGTTTGATCTTTTTGAGACAGTCTTTCTGTGGCTCCTACTTGCCTGGAACTCAGTATGTAGACCAGGCTGACCTTGATCTCATGGAGATCCACCCCCCACCCCCACCCCAAGTGCTGGGATTAAAGGCATGCACCACTACACTCATCTCTTAGCATTGTATTTTAATTAAGACGACACCATATTTAAGTTAGAAACATGGACAGAAACTATGGAACCTGCTTGCGTAGACTTGCTCTTAAACATTTCTAGACCTAGGGATCCCAACTAAAGGGAAAGTCAGGCTATTTTATGATTATTTTCCTATCCCGGTCTGCGTCTTCTAGGAAATGAAACCTTTTATATGAGTGCTCTATTTCCTTTATAAACGCACACTAGCTGCTACCCTCTCAATTACCTGCTTTCCTGTCCACAGTGGAAACGGCTTCAGGATGGCAGGAGGGAAGAGCTTCACTCGCCCTACTTTGTCTGTGAGTCCTCGGTAGACCAGCTCCATGTACTGGTCCCGGGTGAAAAAGCAATTCCGAATAGTCATGTTTGCACCCGAAACCATGTGATCTTGGATCAATCCTGCCAATGGCTGGCCATCCTACAAATCAAAAACAGACAAGAGCAAAGATAAATTTCAAGTCAAATTGTTATGTCTCATCATCTGCTTGGAAGTCACCTTTAACAAGATCTCTCCCATATACCCCATACTATGCTCTCTTCATGCCCTCACTCAGAAACAAACTGCCTCACAAATTACTTGACCAGGGCTTATCACTGACTGGCTTCAACTTTCGCCAACTGCCCACTGTCTTATGGTAAAAGTATTCCAAAGTCATCTAGTACCTCAAGGCTTCCCTGCTCTATTCCATCTGGTTCTAGTTATTCAGCAATATTGGCACTTATACCTAAGTTTGGTCTGGCTATTGTAAGCTGTGTTTTGTATTTTGGTTTTATGTTTTAGTGTTTTTTCACACATTTCTGGCCTTGTTCTTCTGTAAATCAGTGTGATTTAACAAATATTTACTGAGAGCCTACTGTACACCCAGGCATTAGGCAGATTATCAGCCTAATCCAAGAAAAGCCAGATAGTAAACAAACGACGAGATGACTACATGATCACAAACTGCCTCAAATGTCACAGGGGGAGGGGGGAATCACAGGACGGTCATAATACAGGCTGGGGGAGGGGTGGTCAGGAACGGCCTCTGAGAGTAGCAGAGCAGCTGAGGCCTTAGGAGTGACTCAGAATCAGTCAGCAGGATCCTAGGGGTTCAGACCAGGCTCCTGACAGGGCATGACAGGATTCTGATGTATTTAACTACAGAAGGAAATTATGTCCACTACTCATGTCTTCAGGACCCAACATGTGGTTCAAGCTTTTATAAAACCCTAGATTTGCTGGCCACATTAATTTCATTTGACACTTTCACAGTTTTTGTGATCCCAAGTCTCCTGGACGTTATCTGTCAGGTCTGTGTTCATGGCAACACAGGCAAACCAAAGTAAAAATAGCTATGCTCACTGACGCTCTCTAAATAGTTTCTGCAAACTTTTCTATGTTTACAGGAATTTAAGAAAATCCTGATCACAGATCTTAAAGATATTATCATTTGACTGTTAAATGCTAGGCAACATTAAGCCCATGTTTCATAACCAAGGGTACAGGAACTCACAAATGTAACTATGGAGAAACGCCAGCAGTACATGGAATTTAACCTCATATACTAATTCAAACGCTAAGGATTCTTATCAAGTGTCAACACTATGACAACCAGCTCTATGAAAACACAAATATAATTATTATAGATGGACTGAAAAGTGCCACAGATGTAAGACAAGATCAGATGGACTGCACAGCTCTTCTTATAAAGGCTTAGAGTTATTAACATAAATAAAAAATTATCCTCTACATGTTATTCCAGAGATAGTCTTGTTTTGCTTGGGGGAAAATTGCAAACCAGTATTACATATTTGATTCATCCCATATTATAAACTCTTCACTCCTGTTTTCTTCCTTTAAAGAATGTAATTACAAGTTATATGATATATTCAGTGCCTCATCTCTTTTCTCTATCCAAATTCTTCCATGACTGGGAAATTATTTAAAGAGTTAAATTGCTTTCTGTGAAATAATTATGAATTCTAGGAAGAAAAACTGATTAAAGCAATCACTAAGAGTCTACTTCTAATTCTGAATTTCCTAAAACTTGTTTAGGATTAGAAAACAACAACTCTGAATCACAACTCCAGAAAATTGTCAGCTGTCCTGTTTAACACCGCAGCAAAATGACACTCAAATTAATGTCTTCGGTCAGAAGGCTGAGAAAATAGGGTTTTTATGTCTTGAATTTTCTAAGGAGAAGTCAGAAAAGTACATCTCAAGCTTTGTCAAGAATTTTCCACAAAGCACTGGCCCTCAAAAAGCACAAGAAACAGAAGGAAAAAAAAATCTCAGATAAATGAAAAGTTTGATTGTCTTCTTGGAAAAGAAATAGCTAAAGTTCTATTCATCTCATATTTAAAGTAAGAGGACAATACAATGCTTCATACATCCATAATAAACTATACTTTGGTACTAAGGAAGAAAACAGGAGAAATGAAATAATGAACAAAGAAATGTAAACCAAGGGAAGAGAAGCTATACCAATAAACATGACCAAACTACCCAGTCTATGAAGCTTGGGGTCTAGAGCACCACAAGGAAGAAAAATAACTAAGAGTGTTTAGTTCTTAGTATCTCAAGAAAAAAAGTCCAAAAGTAATGGGTTTTTTGTTTAATGAAAGGACTCTTGACATTTTAGGATTTTGCCACAAAAGACATGCTTTAATTTTAATAACCGCAAGTAAAAATAAGGATTTCCCCTCTTGACATTTATACTGAAGGCTAAACAAAATATGCCACAATCAAAAGCTTAACTTTACTTTTGACAAAACAAACTGACAGAGAACTTCCAGGCCATCCTCAAGGTTTTTCCTTTTTATGAAATCAATTTAAGGGCTGAGGAGCTAGCTCAGGGTTTGATTCCTAGTACTAAAAGAATTTTTTAAAAATTTTACCTTGGTTCTGCTTTTATCTCTTAAATGTAAGACCAATCTACAACTCAAGGTACATGAACATATGACTCCATGGGGATTCAAAGAGGCCAGTCCTTTGCAGGGCACATCATAAGCCGAGGCTGCCTGTTGCTTTACAGAATAGAACATTCAAATTCACTAGTGTGAGGACTTGAGAGTACTCTGCTCCCCATGTACCTACTGACCAGTCACCTTGCCAGCAACTCACTTGCTGCTTCCAGGTAGTGTCTCTGATCAAACAAGACTCTTTCTCTAGAGTGAAAGAGCTTGAACAGTTCCCTGGGGCCATGTCCTGCCTATGCCTCTAGCCCCAGTCCTAGCAGTCAAGTGTGCAAATTGCTTAGAGCGGTGCTTGCCCAGGACCTGCTAAATAAATGACAGCTTTTTACTGCCACCACTCCTACAGCAACTTCTATTATTATTATTATTACTATTTTTTTTGGAGGGGGGGGGTCTTTTTGAGACAGGGTCTCCCCATAGCCCCATCTGTCCTGGAACTCACTATGTAGACCAGGCTGGCCTTGAATTCACAGAGATCCACCTGCCTCTGCCTCCCTAGTGCTGAGATTAAAGGAGTGTGCCACCACGCCCAGCCGCTAAAATTATTTTTATGACTTTTACTAATGACATGAAAAGACAAAGAAACAATATTCACATTAGCTAAATCATTTTTTCTAATTTTTGAGTGATCTTATTAGGCCTGGAACCCCTTCTTACATTTAGTCTTTCTGATACCAATGGTCCACTAAGGTAGGTAGAGAAGACAAAGTTAAACTCAAACTGGAGCCAATGGTACACTGGTGTGGCCGACTGCCGAGGAGGCAATGGATCTCTTTGAGCAGCTTCCAGCATTCCCTGGTATACAGCTTTCCATCTCTACTGGAGAACCAACACCACAAGGACCTGAGAGCTTCCCGTTCTTCCCTCCTACTTCAGTGACCTCAGGCAAATTACATTCTTCGAGTGTAGACATTAATAGCATCTACCACTAAGGACTGTGGGCAATGTGAAATAAGAAGCTTCCAAAGTGCTTTGTACAGTGTCTGGCACTGTAAACACGCTTGGTAAATGGTACCTGTGGTTTGCATTACTATTTCTAATCCTTTCAGATTCCACCACAGTCCAAATGAATGATGTATATCTGCATCTGTGAATCACTACAATAAAAACTGCTTACACTTTAAAAAAAAGTCTCAGGCCTTTGGGCAGGTGGTAAGGGTAAAGTGGAAACTGGAATATACTCCACCCTTTTTCCTATGGCCTGGCCCCTTCTTTGCTCTGTTCCTCCTGTGACCACACACTGACTTAGACCCCTGACATTTCTGTGAACAAGTCAGCTGGCCAAGGGCAGTAGGAGAAAAGTTACATATTCTTTCCACGTGCTATTTGGATAGCTCTGACCACATAAGAATTGCCAGTGAGGAATAACCTTGGAGGAAAAAGGAAGGATTCAAAGAAGAGATGCCTTCATGGGCTGCAAGGAGATTTCATACGAGCCCCTAGGGTTAAGTTGCCTCTAAAGTAGGCTCATCAGAACTCAAGGGGTCAGTCTTCTGTAGGTGTTTCTCATCTGGATGCTTAACGCTTTCCAGGCCAGTAAAGAATCCAGACATGTCTGGAAGAGCTGTTATTCAGCTACTGAATTCAGCTCTCTAGGTGGCTACCCCAAGTTTTCTCTGAACTACATTTTAAGTCACAACAAGATAAAAACTTTTCCCTGCTTTTAGGCATCCAGAGGGCTGAAAACCCCACCTTAAAGAAACTAGGACCTTCTGTTCTACATACTCCTGTCCTGGAGCTACCCAACAACTAGGGCCCAGGTTTAACATGCCAAGTCATGATGGTGATGACCATGAAAAGGCTTCAAGGTCAGACATACCTTGGGAACAAGATATTGCTGATCAGTGCAGGCCAGGACGTAAGCTTCAGCTCGGCCCAGTTCACTCTGGGGGAAGTGAGCGTTCATCTCGTCTCCATCAAAATCAGCGTTGTAGGCCTTGCAGTTGGCATAGTGGAGGCGTAGGACTTTTTCTTCAGGCAGGATTCGGGCACGATGGGCCTGGATGGAGGGTCTGTGCAGAGTGGGCTGTCGATTCAGTAGGAGAATGTCCCCATTCTTCACATGCCGGCATACCTGAGGACATAGAATGAAGAGCAGGTGGGTGACTGTGGGAGCTTCAGCATCGTCACTGCTCCTTCCAAGGGCTCACCAAACCTCAGTCTCAGTGGGTTCTGCCTGTGGCATGTTCTAGTCAACGAAATGCAAGAGGAATTTTGTTATACAAATAGAAACTCCAGAAACTTGAGAAATACTGCCAGGTCCCTCTGCCCTCGGCCTTTCACAACCCAGATCCTGCCTCTGGGCCTAGTCGTATAAACAACAGACAAGACCACAGGTCTCTGTCTATTAATCATTGCCTTTTTCAGAGACGTACAGCCTTCCCAGAGCCCTGGATGCCAATGAGAGCAAACAAAGAAATGAACTGAATTCCTGAAAGCTGAATGCTTCCAAGTAACCATAAACCCTAGATTTGAAAGAACTAGACAAAGATTTCTCAAATCCGGAACCCAAGTTCACACATGAATTCCATGACCTAGAAGTAATTAGCCTAACTACACACAGCACTGCCAGGATTAGAAGACAGGGCTTTTGATTCTCAGTCCAGGGCCCTCAGAAACATCCCACACTTAAAAAAGTCAAAACAAATTTAAAAACTGTCATAATCTTTTGGGAAAATAGTCTGAAAATAGCCCTTAGAACATTTGAAACACATTTCCTTTTAGTCTTTCAGAAACAACAATAATAATGCAAGGTAAATGAATTTGTTCACTCAGCAGTGTTTATGGTAGCAAAAAAGTAGGAATAACCTAACTGCCTCACAAAAATGGCAATAAACCCCAGCACGTCCACATTACAGAATGCTATATAACAATAACAAAGGCTCAGTTAGATCAATACCAGTCTGTATGTGACAACAGAAGTATTAGGACACAGAAAAAAAGTCCCAGTAGCATTAAGGAGAAAGGGCGCAGTGACTGTTACTGTGCGGCAAGTGTATATGGGAAGAAGGGCCTAGGACTTTGTTAAGCTATTACTGTGGCTTCTGGGACATGGACACAAAAGGAAGGATGGTTAAAGCACAGAGTGAGACTTTAACCATCACAAATTTCAGTACTTAATATTCATATTGAGGGGCTGGAGAGATGGCTCAACGGTTAAGAACACTTGGCTGTTCTTCCAAAGGACCCAGGTTCGATTCCCAGCACCCACACTGCATCTAACAACCATCTGTAACACCAGTTCCAGAGGATCTGATGGCTCTTCTGACCTCTTCGGGCATTGCACAACATGGGAGCATTCATACACATGCAGGCAATACACTCATATACATAAAATTAGTAAATAAATTTTTATTTTTTATTCTATGTGTATGAGTTTTATGCCTGCATAAGTGTGAGTACTCCCAGGTCATGCATTGTCCATGGAGGACAGAAAAGGACACTGGAGTCCCTGGAGCTGGAGTTATAGACGGTTGTTGGCCACCATGTGGGTGCTGGGATTTGAACCTAGGTCCTCTGCAAGAACAGCCAGTGCTCTTAACCACTGAGCCATCTCTCCAGTCCCCAATTACTATTATTATTATTATTATTATTATTATTATTATTGGTCTTTTTGAGACAGGGTCTCCGTATAGCCCCAGCTGTCCTGGAACTCACTATGTAGACCAGGCTGGACTTGAACGCACAGAGATCCACCTGTCTCTGCCTCTCAAGTGCTGGGACTAAAGGTGTGTGCCACTATACCTAGCACCCCCAAAATATTTTTTTAAAAATAATAAAAATTTAAAAAAGAAGAAAGAGAGAAAAGAAGGGAGGGAAGGAAGGGTGTACCAGTGAGATGACTCAGAAGGTAAAGGTGCTTCTTGTCAAGGCTGATGACCAGAGTTTGATCCCTGCGACCCAAATGGTTGAATGAGAGAACTGAGTCCTGAAAGTTGTCACTCTGACTTCCACATACATGTCGAGGCATGTGTGCCCCCCCCACCCAAAAAATAAATGTAATAAGAAAGCAAGAGCTACAGACTGAAGAACAGTAAGTAATTTCACCCTTTAAAGACAATCACTGTTCATACTTTTGCCCCTACAAATCTAGTCTGTCATGTTCTTTTGACAGAACACCTCTCCCGTAAATCTGGCTTTAAAAACATAAAAGCCACTTTAAGTAACAACTGCACGAGGGCTGGAGAGATGGCTCAGTATTTAAAAGTACTGGCTATTCTCACCAAGGACCCATGTTCAGTTCCAGCATCCACTAACAACTGTCTGTGACTCCAGCTCCAAGGGACTCTAACACCCTCTTCTGACTTCCCCAGGCATTGCATGGCATGAATACAGTTACACACATGCAGGCAATACACACATACACATAAAATAAAAATAATACGTAAAATATTTTTAAAAATACTGCGTGACGGTAATTCCCACCCACTAGAGCACTGTGAATGTGTCCCAAAGGAATACAGATACTTGGTAATGCCTCTCCCTACCCCAAATCTCCTGAGTGACATCAGTTAAATGGTGGGAGGAAACAAGTGCAGTATGCTCATCTGTGGTCCACATTTAAGAGGGTACAAGGGAAGCTGGGACACAGGCTATAAAGAGATGTTTTCTCCTCCATATTCCCTGTCAGTTCTACTCAACGTTCTCTGCAGCTCAGGAAAGCAGAGAAAGGCTCCCTCAAATACTAAAGGCAGTCCTTAAAGCACCTACCATGGAATCTGTGTTTTCACTCCCCAAGGAATGCAAATCTTCCTTTCCCTATGCCCAAGCCCTCTGTTTCCAAGGAGACCTGAACTCCAGGGATTTCCATGAGCATCTGCCCAGGGCACTGGCTGCTCAATGCGTCACAGAACCTGAAGTTTTCTTTCTTTAGCTTCTCAAGGGAAAAGATGGCTAGACCTCTGGCTCAGGTCCAAGAACCCAGGCTGGGCCCAGGATCTGAGCATAGTGAATTCATGACATCCTCCAGTGTAAGCAAACTCACTGCAGCTGGGAAGAGACACAGGCCAGTCTGGTAGGCACCAGCCAATCCAAACAGAAGCCCTGGAGCCCAGAGTGCTCCTCCTGCCAACCTAAACCCAAGGTCTTTCCTTTCTCTTGTGTCTAAATAAATACTGTGGTGGAAATTAGTGTGCCCCAGAGCCCGGGTCAGAGTTTCCAGAGGTAGGCTTGACGCCAATAGCTGCTTAGGGCAGCTGCTGGGCAAGGAAAAGAGCCTAGGCTGTCTTGACCACTTCCTTTTTTACAAGGCCCAGGGGAAGGGACAGAGGTTACCCTCTCACAGGGGAAATGACCCTTCTGTCAACCTTTCCCCTTCTCAACTAACCTGTAGTTAATTCCTAATCTCCTTCCTAGCCACCTCTCCCAGCCCTTCAGCCCTGTCCCAAGCTCTATGAAATGACTAGTCTTTCAGAATGACAAATTAGAAGTACCTATATGTCTCAATCCACATAGAAGTATTGTATATAACACTGTTGAGATTTTAGAAAATGAAGCTTTCCACAGTCCTGTTGAAAGAACTGCTTTCTTCCATAAAGTCCCTTCCTGTCTTTGCCTACCAGTCATGGGATTGAGGAATTCAAAGGCAGAGAGTTGGGTGCATGCACAGGGGTGACACAATGTAGAGGGAGACAGAAGGACGGACACTGTGCTGGGGAACATATCGGGTACGCAACATGGGGTTCCAGAGAGGTAAACTAGTTTGCAGGCTGGCCACCTGGTTTTGAAAATAAATATTTTCTGACACACACCCATTTGCCTACTGATGCTGTCATGCTAGATAGTAAGAGCTGAGTAGTTACAAGGGCCTATGAGGCCAACTAGGCTGAAATATTTACTATCCATTCCCAAGGAAAAGAGGGCTGGGCTGAGACCAGAAGGAAAAGAAGGGGTTAGTTAGCCAGGCAGTCATGGGAGAGCAAAGAGTTCCAGACAGGGGAGCAGCATTTGCAAAGCCTGAAGGGAGATGGAGCCAGCACTGACTGACCAGCTGAACACAGAGCTTAAAATAGGTTGGGTTGAGAGGTGGGCCAGTGGTGAGGCAAAGATAACATGAGGTCCCATGAGCCTACTAAGGATCTGTGCTACAGTAGGAAAACAATGAACTGGACCACCCTATTCTGGCTCACTGCTGCTCAGGAAATCTTTCATCTGCTTCCTGTGAATTGACTAGCACACCACAGCTAGGCAACCTTGCCTTCCAGGACCTCCTGCCTCGCCCTTTATCTATCCTTCACCTGGTTTCCCACAGAGGAAACCAGGCCACTGCTTTATCCTCATACCAATAATGTCTGACCATTTCTGATTTCCTTTCAAATGTCCCCAGCCACTTACTGCCTGTTTCCTCAGCACAGGGACTCTGAAATCTGGCTCCTTCTACCCTGTTCACAAATGAACTTCATTTGACCCTATGACTATATGCAAGAGATAGATACAGACACAAACTTAGCAAGCCCAGCCCTATCCCTCCTCTAACTCCCCCTCTGCTCCCACATTTCAGCCCTCCAGCGGACCTACTTTTTCTCTCCATCATACTCTGTTAAGTGAGTTTAATATTTGGATAGTCTTTGCTTCTACAGTCTTACAATCTAAGTCCTGCATTTCTGCTTTTTACAGTTTCTTAGTTTCTCCATTATTATCTCAAAATTAGAAGGGCTCAAAAGTATCTCCTTCCTTGGCACCCCATTCTCTCCTGATGGAAATAATGGCTCATGTTCATCTCTTCTCTTTCTCACCATGTCCCAGAGATCGAACTCAGGTCATCAGGCTTGGGGGCACACTCCTTTACCTGCTGAGCCATCTTGCTAGGTAAATTCATTTCCTAAGCATCATGCACAAAAAGTCACTGTCCCCTATCGCTGTACCCCGTGGTGTTCACCATACTAGTCAGTAATATTCAATATATTTACGTACTTATTTATTAGCAGTCCCTTTTGGGTCAGGTACACAGTGCTTTGCAAAGACTAAGCATTTAGCTGGACTCAGTTACAACACAAGCCCTCACTGTGTTGTCTCAAAACTCCTCTCATTTTTACTGCGACCATTTAAACTTGAGTGAAGAGAAAAATTACTTCACAATTGTATGAGTCTACCGAAAGTTAAGTAAAATGTACCTTGCTTCTTTTTGTATTCCTCACATAGCTCCTAGTAAAAAACTCCCACCACTTAAGAAAGGCAGAATAGGGGCTGGACAGATTGCTTAGCGGTTAAGAGAATGTGGATCCCAGCATCTACATCTTGTAACTATAGCTAGCTCCAGGGGATCCAACAACCTCTTCCATCTCTACAGGCACTCAAACACAAGTGTGCATATACACACATACTGATATACACACACATATAAATAAAAAACAAAATATTTTAAAAAAGAAATATTAGCTGGGCATGGTGGCACATGCCTTTAATCTCAGCACTCAAGAGGTAGCTGAGATTGAGACTAGCCTGGTCAACATAGTGAGTTCTAGACCAGCTGAGGCTACGGGGGGTCCCTTTTTCAAAAAAACCAAAAATAAATACTAAAGGCAGAATAATTTAAGAACCTGAGAACAAACCTGACTTAATGCACTAGAAAAGAACAATATGAGTGCCTTGACCTGATCTGTCTGAATGACGACCCTGTCACAAAAACAAAATGGCAGAATTAACTCAATTAGAGTTACTACCCGGCCTGAGAAGAGCTGAGAATAAGAAAAGCAAGAGGACTGGCCTGCGCACAGCAGCGCTGAAAAACAACAGGAGCCAACGGTCACCGTGCCAGGCCAAGAGCCTCTTCTCTGTTCCTTCAAAGTTCTTTCGATGCTGATGAAACTCTGTAGAGCTTGGAGTCATTAAACTATAGTTAGCCACTGAGTATGCGAGGTCGAGGGCAAGGAGAGTCACTTAGCTGTACAGATGGGAACAAAAATGCAGTTGGTGACCTCCTGACTCCGGGCTTCTGAGTCAAACTCAAATGGAATCCATTTCACTCCAAAACCTTCTGCTTCTGGTGCTTGCTTAGGGGTCCTCTGCTACTCTCCTCTTATCAAGGTTGCCCACTAGTTGGCACAGACCTAGATGTTGTCAATTGCTGATATCATGTCCTTAACAACACTACTAATCAACCATACATACTTTATAGTGGAAACTGAAAATGACTCATAACATAGCTGTGCTGGTTGGTTTTCTGTCAACTTGACAAAAACTAGGGACATCTGGGAAAACAGACCCTCAACTGAGGAATTTCTTCCATCGGACTGGCCTATGGCCTTTTCTTGATTGTTAATTGATGTAGGAGGGCCCAGCCCATTGTGGGTGGTGCCATCTCTAGGCAGGTGGGCCTGGGATGTATCAGGAAGGTAGTTGAGCGAGCCAGTAAGCAGCATTCCTTCATAATCTTGAGTTCCTGCTCTGACTTCTGTCAGTGATGGACTGTGACCTAGGAATTCTAAAAGCTAAATAAACCCTATCTTCCCCAAGTTGATTCTGGTCAGTGTTTCATCATAGTAACAGAAAGCAAACTGGTACAATAGCGCTATGAACAGGTATTAGGTATTAGCAATAGCTCTAGACTGAAGCATTAGTAAAAACCCACTGGTTATCAGTTATCACTGGCAGGCAACGCTTTCTTCCTGTAAAGTTCTTCAGCTTTAGCACACAGAAAAACCTCTGGAGAGCCTGTTAAAAGACAGCTGAGGAAAAAAAAAAAAAAAAAACAGCTGAGCCCCATTCCCAGAGTTGCTAATTTGCTAAGAGGAGTGTGGGTGGTTTGAATGAGAATGTCCCCATAGGTTCTAAGTATTTGAATACTTGGCCCCAGTTGGTAGCTCTGATTTGGGAAGGTCATGGAATCCCTAGGAGGCAGTCTTGCTGGAGGGAGTACTTCACTAGGGGCAGGCTCTGAGAGTTCATAAGTCTCTGTCCCACATCCCACTTCCAGCTGATCTCTCTGCTTCCCATGTCTCCTTGAAAGGTGAGCACTCAGCTTTCTGTTCTGACTGCCTCTCACCATGATGGACTCTTATCCCTCTGGAACCTGAAGCTAGATCAACTCTTCCTTCTAGAAGTTGCCTTGGTCATGGTGTTTTATCACAGCAACAAAAAACTAACTAATACAAGGGGTGAGGGCTATGGTCTAACTGTATTTCTCCCAAGCTTGAAGAGAGCTGCTACTGATCTGAGGACCATCCTTTGAACAGTCTTGTTCAATGGAAGCATGGAGGAGTCAGACAGAAACTAGGTAGTCCTGGCCAAAACCACATACTACTCACAATTTTTGTTCCCTGGGGCTTAGGAGGCCCTGTGGCCGGTGTTAGGAGCTGTTTGGCCACAGCTTCTCTCTGGGTAGCGTCCACTGCACTCAGGGCCATGCGACTTCCATCCTCATTGATGACCATGGAGGCTCCCGGGTGCACATTGGGTCCATTGATGACTGCCTGCCTCAATTCTTGCACATTCCAGGGAGTAACTGGCTGAGGGTAGGTCAATTTTGTGGCAAATACCTGGAAACAAGGAGTAAGAGTAGAAATTCAGGATAGGTAAATAAAGGTCATAGAGATGCAAAATACAACTTAACAGGCTGCCTGATCCCTTCCCCACCCCGACCCCTGCGAGCTGTGGGGAGCTTCCCTCCCCCAACACCACCCCCACGAGCTGTGGGGAGCTGTCTGCTCAGTCAACAAGGCCTTTCTACACATAAAGCAGTATCTGCTCTTCTCTGCAGTCATTTTGCTAAACTCCCTTAGGTGAATAAACAGAGCAAAATTTTTTTTAAACCCACGCTGAAACTTCATCCTCTTCCTGTCTGTCAATAAAGTCAATGTCCCTAAAGAAAGGACAGCGTAGAGCAACTTAAGACAAGTGGCAAAATGCCTGTCTTTGAAGCACTGCACTGTTGCCCACCCTGGCAGATATCACTGACTGCTCAGGGTATGTCTGCCGAGTCCAGACACGGCACCAGAAAGTGGCACATGAGATGAAATGGATTTGGAATTCTGACACTGAAAACATGAGTGTGCTCCGTTAAGGCTAGATCTGTGACCTGCTCTAAAACAAATGAGTTCTCTAGTTGAGTGAATTTCATTTGATATGTCAAAATGCACATAGACACATGAAAGACTCTAAATGCTAGGAAGTACCACACAGAAGAACTTGCCTAACTTTCCAGTTCTCTGCATAATAGCAATTTATGAGCGCTCCCTACCCCCATGCCCATGTTCCCATCTCCTCAGCCTGCTCTACTTTATGCTGGATGTGCTTGTTTACCATGTGTCCACCACTTGGCCCACAGTTCTGGGAGGCAGTGCTCTGGTGTGTATGTGGCTCCCTGCCCTCTCTTTATAGCTTTATCTCACCTACCTCACCTCCCTGCTCCCAAAATACCAGTCAGCAGTAATATATTGGAAGGGGGGGAGGGCAGTTTTACCCATTCTGCTCTTCCTGATCACTCTGTAACACCCACAGGCCTCCACAGCCCTGAGAACTGGGGCAGGGTAGAGGCAAGCAGGGAAATAATACAAGAGACCCTCTTCAGGGTACAAAGCAAAGCGAAAGTTAGAACTCTTTGAAGGTAGAAAGGGAGGCCACATTAAAGGTTTCCTCCAAAGCTAGGGACACTAGGCAATATGAGGTCAAAGCCAGAGAGGAAATGAACATGTCCTGGGCCTTTCTCCCAGGATTCAGACTTGGGAAAATCACAACTGATTTCACAATGCATAGCCCAGCTTCCTGGGAGGCAGTGGGCACAGGGTAGAGCCTTCCTTGCACGTCTCCTAACACATGAGACCCTTGCCACTAAGACCAAGTGTGCCCTCAAATCAGAACACTTTAGCTCTGCTCATTACCAGCTCCCAAGAGTCAGGGTGGCACATAAGGAAATGAAACTCGGCACAGAGGGAGTTAAACCATCTTCGCATTATTGACCTCAAGACCCATTAAGGAGGAAGTCAACTGAAGAGCTGCTGCTAATGAACACCAAAGCTTTTTTCCCAAGGTGGGGAAGTGAGAAAAGGAAGTTGGCTCACCAAGGGAACGTTAATGGGTGAGTGGGGTGAGCCACTTACTCCAAGAGGAACTGAGAGAGTGGATGACACCAAATGCCACGTCTCTGGGGGGCTTTCTCTCTTTCCTCTGCCAAACACCCAAGGATACACATTCCCAGTGGTACTGAAATCCCCTTCCTCTCCCGTCAATTGGACAAGGAATGTTTAAAGACTAGGTCAAGATGAGAAGGAGTAAGATATAGTAATAGGACATGGAAGGATGTGGCTCTTCCTCCACATGAGAAGCAGCAGAAGCCATTACCACCGGTGTCCTGATGATCTATACCACACTGTCCTCTGTCCCCTATGGCATGCCACCATAGCAAAACGAGCTCCCTCCCCAAACACACACCATGGGAATGCCAATTTCATTGGTGTTGATGTACATGTCTGGGCAGATAACCGAGCGGGCTGCGTAGTCAACTCGTTTTCCCATCATGTGCTTTCGGAACAGGCCTTCCTTCTTCTCTAGAATCTGTAAAGAGCAAAATAGTGAAAGAACATTAAATAATTCAGTTATGTTTATGATTTTTCTATACAAACGTGTATAAAATGTTCACTTGTAAAAATATGGAGGGGACTGGAGAGATGGTTCAGTGGTGAAAAGCACTGGCTACTCTTACAGAGAGGACTGGGGTTCAGTTCCCAGCACCCATATGGCAGCTAACAACCACCTGCAACTCCAGTGCCAGTGGATCTGACACCCTCTTCTGGCGTCCACAGGCATTGCATGCACATGGTGTACATACATATATGTAGGCAAAACACTCAGACACATAAATATAAATAAATAAATTTTTTTTAATGTAGAAGGAGTCAGGCATGGTGGCACAGGACTTTAATCCCAGCACTCGAGAGGTAGAGGCAAGTGGATCTCTTGTATAATCAAGGCCAGTCTGGTCTACAGCAAGTTCCAGGCCAGCTAGGGCCACAGGGAGACCCTGTCTCAAAAAAGCAGATAGGAGCTGGGGATGTGGATCAGTTGTTAGTTGCTTGTTACTACTCACTCTCATCAATTAGCAAAGGCAATCCAATTTACTGCTCACCTGTCTGATGCCAGGGTACTTTTCCAACATTAATTTGTCCATCTCACTATCAAACACAATATTGACATGGCTCTGAAGACGAATCCAAATGTTGTAAAGTTTGTCTGTGAGAGACTGGCCTGGAAGCATACTTAAAAAGGATCGGTCTATAGCAACTGAAGAGTCTTTTTCCTGGGAAGATAAAAAAAGTCAAGAAAAAAGCTGGGTGTGGTGGCACAGACCTTTAGTCCCAGTACTCGGGAGGCAGAGGCAGGTGGATGGCTGGTCTACATAGTGAGTTCCAGGCCAGCTGGGACTACAGGCAGACCCTGTCTCAAAAAGACTTTAAAAATAAAAAAAAGAAAAGAAAAAGAAAAATCAAGAAAATAGGGATGATTAAGAAAAAACTTCCTTTTGACCCTTGATCTGACAAAGAGCTCTAGAGTTTATCTTTGGAGGTGACAGATGATGGCAAAAGTGCTAATAAACCAATCTTTTTAGTATATATCAATAGAACATTAGCTTCATTACACATCTATAATCTGCTTGTCTCTTTCTTGTAGTGATACAATCTCAAAATTTACAAGCATACCAGAGTACATACCTATAAAATAAATCAGCACTTGGGAGGAGGCAGAAAAATCAGGTTGAGACCAGCCTGGGCTATACAGCAAGATCCTGTTTCAAAAAACAAAACTAAGAAAAAAATTTGTAAGTGAGGGCTGGAGAGATGGCTCCATGGTTAGGAGCACTGGCTGTTCTTATGGAGAACCTGGTTCAGTTTCCAGCATCCACATGGTGGCTAACAACTGTTGGTAACTTCAGTTCCTGGGGATCTGATGCCCTTTTCTGGCCTCTGAGAGTATTACAAATACAAGTTCACTCATATACATGCAAACAAAACACTCATACACATAAAATAAATAAATTATAAGTAGGCTCCTTTCCCTAAGCTTAAGTATTTATCTAATTATCCAATTCTTTTTTTTTTTGGTCTTTTTTTTTTTTTTGAGTCAGGGTCTCCCTGCAGCCCCAGCTGGCCTAGAACTCACTATGTAGACCAAGTTGGCCTCAATTTCACAGAGATCTGCCTGCCTCTGCCTCCCAAATGCTGGGATTAAAGACATGCACCACTGAAGCCAGCTTTTATCCAATCCTTTAAAAAATTTCTATCCCTGGTCCTGTTTCCTCTTCTGTCTGCCCAGGGAAGATAAATACAGAGGTCCTAGACTGTGTTAGAGCACTAGCTACCGACACTGTCTGACTGGCTCCATCCAGCTGCATATGACGTAGGAGATAGGGTGGGTCAAATGAGAGAAAAAACTTCAGTGTGTCAAGAGTGGCAGAAGTGAGGGTAGGTGAAGGTCCAAGAGATGAGAATGTCATGAGGATCCATTAGTGATAAAGACGACTTGTCCTCAACCACAAGGAAGAGTCATCATTAATCACATGGAGGGTAGATACAGCTCTTCAGGCAATGTTCTGGCCCTTTCATCACCTGCATGATCACAGGGACCCTTCTAGTCTAACTCACTGCTTGCAGCATTTGCTGGTTCTGGGCCATGTGATGACCGGTTAAATGAGTGAGACATTGCCCACTGGCTTGCTGACATATCCAACTAGCACAGCTCCTGGAAAGCATTGCCATGGAAACAGCCGAGCAATAAGAGCAGGAAAGAAGCAAGAATATGTCCAAATAATCAGATGGAAGTTAATATACCATTCAGGGGCTGCTGTTTTGTTCTATAGAGATCAAACCTTTTTTTTTTTTTTTGGTCTTTTTGAGATAGGGTCTCCCTGTAGCCCCAGCTGTCCTGGAACGTACTATGTAGACCAGGCTGGCTTTGAACTCACAGACATCTGACTGCCTCTGCTTCCCAAGTGCTGGGATTAAAGGCATGCACCACCACACCCGGCCATCAAAACTTTTTTTAAAAAATATTTTTATTTTATTTTTTAAATATTTATTTGTGTGTATATACAGATATATGTATATAGCTATAGATACATACAGTTTTTTGTTTGTTTGTTTGTTTTTTGCCTTTTTGAGATAGGGTCTCCCCGTGGCCACAGCTAGTTTGGAATTCACTATGTAGACTAGGCTGGCCTCCATCTTAAGAGTTCTGCCTGCCTCTGCCTCCTGAGTACTGGGATTAAAAGCATGAGTCGTGATGCCCAGCTACATTTTAATTAAAAAAGACTATTTTATTGTTTATTTTATGTATATGAGCATACTGCCTGCCATGTATATATAAGTGTACCTATGCTGTGCCAAAGCCCAAGGAAGTCAAAGGAAAGTGTCAGATTCCCCTGGAACTGGAGTTACAGACAGTTGTTAGATACCATACGGGTGCTGGGAATCGAACTTGGGTCTTCTACAAGAGCAGCCAGTGCTCTTAACTGCTGAGCCATTTCTCCAGCCCCCATTTTAATTTTTGGTTTAATGTATGTTTATGTATGACCAGGTGGAAGTCAGGGGACAACCTGTAATAGTTGGTTCTTTTGTTCTACCATGTGGGACCCAGGGACCATCAAATCATCAGGGTCTGTGGCTGACACTTTTACCTACTGAGTCATCTCACTGGATGTTGACAAAGCTTGTTCCAATTTTCAAGGGACACTGAAATGAAAGTCTCAACCCTAGTCACTAGATTTGGCTATCCTATGGTTTTCTGACTCCCAAAATGAACCAGATTCTGGAAATGGCAACTCTTTTCTTACACTGAGGATCTGTTAAAAGCACACTTACACTGACCAATCAGAAAACCTAAACAGAACCAGAGAACGCTCCAAGGACTAGTTACCCAAAGCCTAAGAGCCTAAGAGACAGTGGCACCACCTTGTGACAGGCCTGGTTGATGGCCAGACTGTCTTAGCAACTCACAGGGAGTCTGAGGGCCCAGTCTACCCAAGGATAGAGAATAACATTTCTATTTGCATTCAGAGTGTATTTCAGAGCTGAGAGTGACCTCAGTAACCTCTCTGAGCACACAATTCACCTTTATAACCACAAGAGAGTTAGTGCAGGGCCCAGAACACTGAAAAGGATAAGGGAATGTAAGAGGGGACAGTCTTACTCTAGGAAATTCCCATTCTACCACACTGCCTTCCTGGCATCAATGCTGGAGACTATAATGAGCCTAAAACAGACATTCTTAAGAGCCCAAGGGAAGGTGACAATTTCTTGTAGTGTTACTGTCAGCTGGTAGCCCAAACAGCCTAGGTATAAAACCCCACAACAAACTGTATACACTGTATAGCGGAGGCGAGTCCAAGAAACTTAAGTGACTCAACTAAGATCACTGACATGGTCATTAGACATAGAACGTAGATTGTAACCCAGATGTACCTATGGTCAGGCCTGTACCTGTCCTGACAACCCACATTACCCATTATGGGTGCCACCCAAGGCAGCCATCATCTTGCAGCACCCAGAGCATCTGTTTCTGCACTGTGCGTGCTTTTGGTTAACCAAGCTTGTGATATCAGCACTGAGGCAACCCTGACCTTGTCTGGAGTGAGTTCTGTCACCTCACAGGGCAGTTTCTGTTCTTGGGCCATCAATGCCAGAAGTTTCCGGATCAGAACTACATCCTTCATGACAGCTTGCAAGTTCACTGTTTGGCCATTAGTAAACATCTGGTCCCCCAGGCGATTGATAGGACGGTACCTGCAGGGTGACACACAGAATCCATGAATGTTCTTCAGTCTCTCTACGTACTTACTGTAACACACCTTAACCTGCTCAAAACACAACTATCCGTGTCTTGAACAATCTGACAGTATAATCAGGCCACATTGTACAATCCTGAACAATCGGACCACAGCCTGCAGCTTCTGGTGGACAACTGCTCAATTTCTCAGTGTCCTGACCCTTCCAGTCCCTCTTATATGTCCTTGGCTCAATTCCTAAGCCCACTTTTTTTCAGGCAAAATAAATTAAAGGGTATTACCTGGAGGGTGGCACCACCACGAAATCCAGAAAGAACACACTGGGGTTGAATCTGGACTCCATGCCAGTATCATCCAGTCCTGAAAAAAGGTAGTTCAGGAAGAATCCTGTATTTGAAACAAAACAACCAAAGAGACTATTGAAGTCTACATAAAAGGGCAGGAAGAACAGTCACAAAAATATTACTAGGGGGAGGGGAGGGCACACACCAGAATATGAGGTAATATGTAGAATAAGAATACCCTTTTTATCTTTTGAAAATAATCCAAAAATAGCCTGTGTGTATGACAGCTTGTATGTAGGTAAGAGGATAGTTCTAAAGACCCTGTAGGGACACTAGTACTTGACTAAGGAAATATGCCATGCAGAGACATGCTTTTTTTTTTTTTTTTTGAGACAAGGTCTCCCTCTACCCCAGTTGGCCTGGAACTCAATGTAGACCAGGTGGGCCTTGAATTCACAGAGATCTGCCAGCCTCTGCCTCCCAAATGCGGGGATCAAAGGTGTATGTCACCACACCTGGCAAGAAATATGTCATGCAAGGACATACTTTTAATTACCCTCCTGGACTAGTAATCTTACATATATAATCAAATGTTGGCTGCTTTGGTAGTTATACAAAATTTATTGGAAATTAAAAACAAAAACATCAAATCAAGGGCTGGGTGTGGTAGCATGCACTTTTAATCCCAGCACATGGGAGGCAGAGGCAGACAGATTTCTCTGAGTTTGAGGCCAGCCTGGTCTACATAGTAAGACCCTATCTATCTCAAAATAAATAAGAAAATGTAAAAAATCAAATGAAAATAAACTTCAACCTTTTAAAAACAAAGTAAAACACAAAAATATCTTCTACATGAGTGGGCCAAGAGTAATCTTCTGCAGGTTGGATCAAAGATGTTTTTAAAGTTTCAGGTGACCTAAAACTGTCAGAGAAAATGATTAAAACATGGGAGGACCTGCTATGGAAGCGATCACGCTACTTTGAAGACTTTCATTCCTGTATCTCTTCAATACCGCACTTGTCGGTAAGAAGCACTTATTATACAGAGTTTAGAGTTGATATCCTAGAACACCTTCTTGGAAGATGGTTCTGAGGACTTAAAATATTCTACATAGATTTTGTTTTGTATTCAAAAGGAAACCGATGGGGCTGGAGAGATGGCTCAGCAGTTAAGAGCAATGACTGCTCTTCCAGAGGACCTGGGTTCTATTTTCAGCACCCACACGGCATCTAACAACCATCAGTACCTCCAGTTCCAGGGGATCCAACACCCTCTTCTGGCCTGAGGGCACTGTACACACATGGTACACTTAAATACATGAAGGCAAAACACATACAAAATAAAAAATAATTTTTCAAAAGGGAACAGATTTCTCTTTTTATAGAGAACTGAAATAAGTAAAAGTCCTAATAAAACATAGTTCATTATTTGATTCACAAAAGGTATTCCTAGATAGTTTTAAAGGTCTTTTAATTACAGGTATCTAAAATAGATGAGTTGTGATGAACTTTCCAGAAATACATCAGTGTAGTAATGACTGGACTCAGTTGTAACAACCACAAGTCTTTGGTGCCAGGTATGACGCCCCTGCTCTTTGATGTCTCTAAGTCAGTGTACCCTCAGCCTTGACCCAAGCTTGCATATGGATTTCGTAAGGGCTTCACAAATTACATTAATTAAAGTAAAATTAATAAAGACAGGGTTAATGACATTAACCAGGAACTTAAAGTCTGGAGCAGAGGGAGGCTATTTCTTTAGTCTGGCACAGTACCTTCATTCTTCCAGATGGCAAAAAGGTGTTCTTGGGCGCTGCTGGGCGTCAGGTATCCTCGTTTTCCCAGCTGAGCTTCTTCAATACCTGGAGCTGCTGGTACCCCTTCTGTAATAGGGTTTACCAATTATTTGTCCTCGTTTTACAAAGTTTGAGACTTGGCCACAAAAATCTATAGGAAAGCATGTTTTCAACACTGGATTTCCACCCTTAGTCTAATTTCCAAAGCAATAAAAACAACGTACTATTATATAAAACCTTAAAACAGAAAAAAGAAAACATTACCCATGGGCCCATCATATCAACATAACTATTTTTACTTTTACCTATTTTTTTCCCAGTGCTTTGGTTTAAGTAAGTACTTAACATGATTGCTAGGCATGGTGGCATAGGCCTGTAATCCCAGTACTTGGGAGCATGAGGCAGGAAGATCTTGAGTTTCTGGCCAGTATGGACTACACAGTGAGACATTACCTCAAAAAAAAAAAAAAAAATCTTGTGCGAATTTATTTTCAACAACACTCTGCTGCAGCAGGATTACCACAAATGCAACTCCAATGTGATCTACATACTGAGTCCCATACCAGCCTGGGCTGCAGTGTAAAACTCTGTCTCAAATGAAACAAACACAACACAGCTTTGCTTATAACGAATTTCCTTACAGTTCAACTCAGTTATATATTCACAAGTCTATTATGAAAAGGCTCAATATTATAAGTGTCCTTTCTCATAACCTATAGATTCAAAACAAACCCAATCGTAATTCCAGAGGGATTTTGAGTACAAATTAACAGGCTGATTCTCAAATAAATATGGAAATCTAAATACTGTAGAATGTTCATAGTAATTTTAAAAAGAATGAGGTAAAGTTTTACTGTAAAGCTACTCAAACCAGTTCACTACTAGAA